TATGCCAATGACTTCAATACTCTCTAATTCTTTGTACACCTTAAAATGTCTGTAGATGAAATGAAACCAAAACATTGATTATGTGATACGGGTTTTATCTTTCTTGTTCTATTGACTACTTATATGTGGGAATTGAAACCAGTCAAGATGTGAACCAGCAAACTTTTCGGTTGTCGTACAAACCGTAATCTATTTAAGGAAACATTTATAGACAATTCTGTATCCAAAATATTTATTTTAAAATTGAATAGAGATGAGAATTTGCCAGAAATGGAGAAATAATGTGATAGGTTACTTAAGAGTGATGACGAAATGAATGGTTAATCACGAAGCAGGGGATGGGATGAGTAGGATTTAAAATTGATGGAGAACAGTTATGGCTGAATTGGTACTATTTCGTATCGAAATTTACCTGTGAATTAGTATGGAGTTTGGAATACAGTCCTCATCTCAGTCTTATTGTAAATCCCATTTAGGGTTTCTGATGCCCCTCAGAGAACGACTTTTTCGGTCTAACGATTGCGTCAACCTAATCAGACAAACAGTTTATCCTACTAAATACCATACAATGGCTGTTAGATCAGGTACGCAGCGCAGAACGAAAACTTTCAGTCAATTAAGCTAGCAGAACATAAAAACAAAGATAAATTTGGAATGACCTTCACATAGAGAAGTTATCTGCAGGAGGGTAGAGTAACTGCTTTGTACTCGTGCTAACGCACCCAGTGTATTAGAACAGAGTAATGGTCTGAACGATTTAGTTGGTTTAGTAAAGAAGAGGTGTGCCAGTGAATGTTTGTTTATCGGTTCATCACCTGATATTTGCAAAAGGAATGACTCAACAACTATCCTATATATGCAAAATTTTTACTACCACTGAAATCGAAGAAAGGGAGGGGGTCGAACTACAGAATCCTATTCAGGAAATGGTGTTATTACTCTGGTATGATTATGAACAATAAATTGTGCTTGAAACGCCCTATTGTGAACAAAACTCTATCATTGCATGCTAACTCAAACAAACTAATCTAATATGAAATTTACATTCGAGAATTAGTATAGTACGTATTACCATTACTCATTGTATTTTACTATATTCTTCTCAGTTAAATACGAGTTAAAGAAAGTGAAATGCATTGAAAATTTTGAATATTAACGCCATAAGATTTAGTCACCAGTCAGGTTTAGTGAATCATCTGATAGATTGCCAGGCTGGTAACTTGGAGGCCGCTGGTTGGAATCCCACTTCGAGTTCGGTTTCACTGTGCTCATTCGTAAGGCTATATCATAATTAAAAACCTGTGAAGCCATAGATAACTCGGATGGTCTCACAGATAGTCATAATTTTGTCTTGTCGCTCAGTTGTTAAACGGAATTAATTATCTGAGGTAGGGAATTGAATCAAGGCGCATGTCTTATAAAATGTTTACAGTAGATTTAGCAGTTATTACATTTTCTAAAAGTTTCCTGCAAGTTTCAGATAATACAGCGCGAAACAAATCATGATATTGGAAGTCACCCGTTGAACGGTTCTTGATTAGACAACAGTCTTACACAAATATCATGCCTAATGATGTTATTGAAGGAGCTGTTATTGAGTAGTATCGAACAGATAGACATACACCTCTTCAAAATTTAATTATATCCGTCATTGCATAATGTCAAACCGTTAAGCTTAGCTACTATATTGAAAATTAACCGATAGCCTTTGATTACAGCTGAGTATCTAGGACACCATAGCTGTATTTGCCGAAATCTAATGATCATTTCGTAAATTATTTCCTCTAATTATGGTCTCTCTGAAGAATCAATAAACCAGGGCAGTGATCTAGAGGTTTCTTAGACCAGGTCGGTGTGATGTAAGCACCAGTTAGCCATTTTGTTTCTTTATGATTGCGTTCATTGTCGGTGTATCCAAAACAACTTCATTTGGGTACACTAAGTGTTCAGATAACCTGAATATTGTAAGGTAGTTTGAATGGATAACAGTACCACAAGCTCACTAAACAATTTACCCCTATTCAGTAGTCAGATAACCAATCACTAAGATTCTTAAAATATTTTCGGTCATCAGTGTTTACTTCAGGACTTCCTCATCCTTCAACGTATGAATTGTGAATCACTTCAATAGATTTTGGACTTTTCTAGCTTCATTTTATAAGGAGCTAATGAAGAAATTTATTTATGCTTGCATTTTTCTGTCTTTGTAACGGATCAAACTGATCTACCTCTACTGTGGAATGGGCTTCTTTGAGGATCCCTCGGTATAGCCTGAAGATTAATTGTTGTCATAATTGGCTCATGGTAGATAACAGAGGAATTCAAGATGAGCGTTTCGTCCAGTTTCTGACTTGTCGGCCTGATATATCGGCCTCGCACTGAGTGATGTTCCCAGTGAGATTTGAACCCAACATTTATTGGCCCAAACACCAAAGTGTTATTCACTAGGTCATTGAGGCAGAGTAGTGATATCGAATCATCCGCATAGGAGCTCATTTGTTAACAGAGGTTGGCCGACTGCACCCAGTTTAGTAACAGGAAAATATAAGTGTCATTACGTAACAACTGAAACATGTTGCACAAGAGGCGGCTATCTTGTCTCAATAGCCTTCTAAAGACTTTTTAAAACTCTGAAGTCTGCAGCGATAGGTTCAAGGTTGAAACCCCAGTAGGAACACCATCATTCACTTGGATGCAAATGCATCTAACTGAAGAGTCCCGAATAAGACCAAGTGTACATCCTGGATTCTACTGCTAGCCATCGTCAACAAATTCTAACCGAAGATATCTTTGCATCATTACGATATACTCTCATCCTGTGACACGGAACATGAATTTTCGTCTCCAAAATCAATCAGAAGTACTCCTAACTTACTTTGCTTCCTCTAAATAGGTAGGTTATTGTTTTGCTACTTTTTACATTCCACCTTTATCCTTGTGGTAAAGGAAGTTCTGGTGTATCTTTATTTTTTATCTGAAGGGTTAGAAGATAGTGACGATAATGATGATTATAATAAAGTGATCAGGGAATAACTATTCTTAATTTTTTTGAAGAAATGAAAAGAAAAACATATCTCAGCACAAGGTTCTGCAGAAAGTTGATATTTTTCTTCGCTATTTTGGCATGAAGCTTTTTCCTTAACCTGAATATTTCAGTGACCTTATTTGTTGTTTTTGAGCATTATTTGTTGTACGTTATATATATATATATGCGCTATTTTAGGCCATTAATGAAGCAGATGATGTACAAATTGAAAATCAGGACAGTGAAATAGAGGGTGATGATGGAGGTGGTGGTGAACGAAATAAGAAAATAATCAGCAAACTTTCTCATCCAGTTAATTATTTTAAACGACGCAAGTCATCACATTGGATACATGCATTAGATTTACGTAAGACATCTGCACCAGAATGGTGTAGTCATTCATATCAGCATAGATCAGGTACACCGGCTGTGTTAAGTACAGGTATCCGCAAATGGTATCATATTAAACGACGTAAATCACATCTCCCAAGAACATTTAATAAAACAAAAAGTGCAGAAAATTTAAGCTTTCGTAAAGCATCAAATAATTTTTCAAATACGTGGGAAATTGCCAAACCAACACCGGTAAATGTTACGGTGTCTGTGATAAATGAACAAGATGATATACCGCCTAAACAACAGCTCGATTCATCGCATAACACGTTTAAGATTACAGAAGATAATGATGAAGTAAATCCTCCTGAAAATTGTGAAGAAATCTGACCATTCGCTACAGAGTATAAGGAAAACAGAAACCACTTCCACTGCTAATATTACTGCATAAATCAACTGAACACATCATCATTATATATGCTTGCATATTTTCGATACGCCTTCACAAAATTTACTAGATGATGAAAAAACAAATATTGAACAAATCGTTACTTTCTAAGTGTGTCTATTTATTGTAAGATGAACAGATATCTCTTGGTTTCATTTTCGATTCTATGGTTGTTTTTGTTCAGTCTGGTTGTGAAACACATTAACCTCTTATAGCATATATACATGTCTATGTATCTATTTAAATGAAAAGAAAAGAAGATAAATGGGCAGAAACTTCAAACACATCACTTTACTTAAAACAAGTAGATTCCATTTGTATGATTATGCTAATGACTACTTTTCTGTCAGATTTCTGGTTTTGTTTGTTTTTCTTTTCTAATTTATCGTCTGTTAAATTAGTAAGCTAAATGTACTTGACGAAATGAACTGGCTTTTTCTTTCTGTGTTGAATGGTATCAATAGATAAGTCTAAAATAGCGTGTCAATCAAGACACAAATGAACTATCTGTTTCATTTAAGTGGAGTGTCATTCAATTATTTATATGATGCAACCTTTAATAGTGGATAGGGTTTTATGAAAGAACTATTGAAAGGAATGAAACACCTTGAGATAGCTTCTTTACAGTTTAAGATTCTGTATCGCAATCTACCATTCACGAAAATAAACCAACGATTAATACCTTCAGTAAATCCCCTAGATGAGTAGTAATGGGGTGTTTAACAGTAACTTGCTTCAAAATAGATTTTTTAACTAAATTCTAATAGGAAGCAGCGAACAGAGGGTTAAAATAACTTAACGGTACCATCGAATGTTTACTGATGGAATTACTTATTAATCATACTGTGTTGTTGTTCTAAATAGTTTTCCTGATGATACTTAGAGTTCAGGTCAAAAGTCCGTAGCGGGATCACGGGTGCATACTGCTGGGGAGTCGCCTACAAGGACGAAACGGCTGTCCAGTGCTCCCGGGTTTCCAATGTTTTTCCAGCTGATGTCAATCTATGATGGATGCCAACTTGAAACTAATAAATCCCCACGAACCCCCGATTTGAGCAAATTCAAGTAGCCTGACAAGGTTTGTTATTTTAATCAAGTTTCCTCAAGTTTGAAGGAGATTAGTGTGACTCCGAGTGATAGAAATCATTTTATACTGCTTAACTACCAGTAATACGTTTCATGTTATCTGTTTATTTATATAAATAATATCAGTAAACCTGTTAGGTGATCATGAAATTACCACAAGCGAGGAATGTGAACAAAAAATAACGTCGATATTCGTCTGGAAAAACGATTTGTTGTTAGATTATTTAAATACACAAAGATAGGCTAGCACTGGAATTTGGACAATATCAATCATTCATTACAGGTAACAGACATAAACACAGGGGGAGGGGAAGCGTACACGCCTAATTCATAAGTTTGCTACTGCGAATGAAAAACAAATGAATAGTGATGAGATTATTGTAAAAATATAACAGTGGCCTTGAAACAAAAGTAACGAATGCAACAAAGAAAATGCTTGTGTAACTAGCTAGAAAATAAAACAGCTAGATGAAAAAGTGCTGATTTATTCCATAGAAGTTTGGAAAGTAGAGCAAAAATTAAAATTAAATTGAAAGTTAAAATTAAAACAGAAACTTAAAAATCAGGGATAAACACAAGAATACTGTCAGTTTTAGCAGATATTCAGCGCTGCAGTCATCTGATAGGATGATGTCTGTTAACGACTAAAATCAACAAATAGCCAATTAAACTCTACACATAACATCATCATTTATAGGAAGCGCATACAAATCAACACTACAATATGAAATCATCTTGTTTGATAAGTCTCATTAGAACCCCGAGAAAAGTTAATCACAAGAGAGATATTCCTTTAAACAAATTTTGTTTCAAGCAATACATCTGTATATAAATGTAGCATTTAAAGGATTTACTTTCTTGTAAATAACTGATAATTGTAGTAAAACTTGTACTCAAAATATTGGTAGCAGTAATTTGAGTTGGCCGATAGAGTATCGCATTAAGTTGTAGGAAGATAAGGACAGGAATTAAAAAATCTTCATTAAGTTCTATGTATTCTCATCCGCTACACACAGCCCACATTCGCAATGAATATATAGTTAGTTGAATGGAGATAGAAGCAGAATCCATAAAAAAACCAGTCAAGCAGGTCAGAGTAACTTAGTGTACAAATCAAAGCTGCAATTAATACATACGCTTTAGTGATGTAAATGAAAGTTCTAAAAGTATGAGTGAAAAGGAGTTTGGATACGAATGATCATTGAGAGTAGATAAAAGAAATCAAATTAAGTGAAGGGCTTTTAGTACTTGATCTGTAAGACGATGATCTCCCTAAGGAGAATTTTAGAATCAAAATTCATCTTCCAGGATAATAGGATACTAACTACGCTTTTTTTCTGTATACTTGTAAGGTAGAGCATGCTTCATAACAACTGTTGTGAAAGTAGATTTGGTGGAGATAGCATACTAATTATTCTAAAGGTATCTAAAAAGTAGGTGTGTTTTATGCATCCGCCCGACAACTGGCTGTTATGCTTTTTATGTGTCTACTTCTTTTCTGTTTTTGATAATGGAGTTGTGTTCAGAACCAGTCAGTCAGTTAATGTCAATATAAGATCCGAAGTTATTGCTTGATATTGCATATTGACAGATTTTACATCAGCACATCATGGTACAGGGTTATCATTATTATTATTATTATAAGTCCCTTGGGTTCCTAGTGGAACATAGGGCTTCAGTAGCACGTCTCCAGTGAACTCTGTTCTCTGAGATCTTTTGAACCTGGTTCCACGACAGCCCAGAAGCTCTCATTTCCTCCTCGCACGACCTCCTCCATGTCACCCTCACCTCAGACGCCCAACTCGTCGCTTCCCATGGGGATTCCACTCGAGGGCCTGACGCGTGATGTCCCCAGTCAGCCTTCTCAGTGCATGCCCAATCCATCTCCACCTCCTCCTGCATATTTGTTGGGTGATAGATTCTTGGTTGGTTCGTTCCCAGAGTTCCTTGTTGCTTATTCTTTCTGGCAATCCATCTGATCTTCAATAGTGAACCAGCGTAAGCAGTTGTTGATGAATATCTGTAGTTTAGTGGAAATCCCTTTCGTAACGCGCCAATTCTCTGAGCCATACAGAACCACTGACTTGACGTTGGTGTTGAAAATCCGGATCTTGTTCCACATGCTGAGTGCAGTGGAGAAGATCTACACACTGGTTTCAGGCTAATGAACGCCTGTCTTGCTTTTCCGATTGTGACTTTGACATCCTCGTCTGTGCCGCTGCTTGTAGTTGAAACAGTGCTTCCTAGATAGGTGAAGGTTACTTCCTTTAAGTTTCTCCCGTTGACAGTGATTGGAGTTTGTTGTTGTTGGTGGTGGTGCGGTATCTTCATCACTTCTGTCTTCTCTATATTCACTTGAAGTCCCGTCTTCGCTGCCTCTTATATCAACTTGTTAGTTTTTGCCTGTAGATCTTCAAGTTTATGTGACATCAGGCACAAGTCATCGGCGAAATCCAAGTCTTCTAGGTTCTTTTCCGCAGTCCAGCCAGCGTATCCCCCTCTTCTCGCTGCCCACTGTTTGCTGCATGATCCAGTCGACCACAATCAGGAATATCATGGGGGATAGTAGGCAACCTTGTTTCACTCCTGTCTTCACTTCACTGCAAAGGCATCACTGAGCTTCCCATTGTGAATTACTTGGCCGGCATGTGGTGTCTTCATACAGTTGTTGAATGAGGCTGATAAAGGTTTGCGGTACTCCATAGTATTGAAGCAGTTTCCAAATTACTTCTCGGTCGACGCTGTCAAAGGCCTTCTCAAAGTCGATGAAGTTGAGGCAGAGAGCTGATTGCCATCCTATACTCTGTTCTATGATGATGCGAAGTGTGGCGTTGCAATTTGGTCCGCACATGATTTGTACTTCCTGAATCCAGTCAGCCTGTTTTGGTCTTAGTTTTGAATCCAGTGCATCTTTAAGCCTCTCCAGGATGATGCCGCTTGGTATTTTGCTTGCTTTGAGTGGACAGGAGAGTGATTCCACGCCAGTTCCTGCAAACACTGAGGTCTCTCTTCTTCGGCAGTTTGACAAGGTAACCCTTCTTCCAATCAATGGGCAGGTACCTTCTCTTCCTTCCACACCTTCTGCAATAGTGGTGTGGTGTGAGCATGTCTTCTGTTGTCTCTGTGTCTGTTCTCTGTGCTTCTGGCGGGATCCCATCTGGTCCTGCTGCTTTCCCACATTTCAGTAGCTTTATGGCGTTCAGGACTTCCATTTTCGTTGGGGGATTTATGTTCACTTGTAGTTCAGCGGCTGGAGGTGGTATTTCTGGACGAAGTGCAGGTGGTTGTGGTGGCCGATTCAAGAGCTTTTTGAAGTGGTCGGCCCATCGTTTCCTCTGTTTCTCTCCTTTCGTAATTAAATTTCCGTCATCATCTTTTATTGGCTTCATCTGCGTTGATCTCTTCCCAGATAGCAACCTGGTTATTTGATACAATGTCATCAGGTCTCTCTTACCTGCAGCCTGCAGCCTGTTCTGCTTCACTTGCCAGCGTTTCGTAGAAGTGGTACAGGGTAGTAAGATAAAAGACTGAGAAATAGAAAAGAAAAGTGAAATCAGAGTCGTAGAGAATCATCTGAAGAGCTGGAGGAAGGTAGGCAAATAACTAAATTTGATATGTTGATTAGGCTAGGGATAAGAGGTGAATGCATGCACCCCACTGAAATCGATTCCAAGCCATATCACCTAGAGTCTCCAACTATCGATTTCATTTGTCGTACGGATTTCATCAAGAACGTCTGCATACTTCTGATGGTTCAGACCGACAGTCATAGACTTTTTAGATCGATGTCATGGTTTAGTTTCACGACTTTTGAACTCTGAGCCGTCTAAATCTGCTTCAGTTAGCATTGTACAATGTGATAGACAGTTGCTGTGCGTGCGTAACATGTCGCAGACACCTAAGTCGATAAAGGTTCACCTATTTGCAAACACTAGCCAACCTAGCTGACAAGTAGAGAACGGAAACACATTCCCAGCTCTGTAACATTTTAGTAGACTCAGGACATTTCGCTCTTTTTGACAAGTCCCTCAAAATTCTGTTCAAAATTGCTACCAAGCCACTAGAAAGGAGTGGGACTAAGATATCTGGGGATGGCTACAACACTATCCATTCAAAGTTTACACCATCATTTGAGTTCAAAAAAGTATGTGCAACCTCTTCCTTTGCTATGACCATCGTAGATAATCGATGACTCTAGATAATCCACGTATAATGTAAATGTCTTTATTTTGTAATCATTTTGTTTATTTCCCTATTACATGACTTCCTTTGACCTTTGACCAGAAATTACTCTGGAATGTTGTATCCTTTTTACTATATATTCATGAATGGACAGCTAAGA